CTCTCTCTCTCTCTCTCTCTCTCTCGCTCTCTCTCTCTCTCTCTCTCTCTCTCTCTCTCTCTCTCTCTGTGTGTGTGTGTGTGTGTGTGTGTGTGCGCGTGTGTGTGTGTGGGCGCGGGCGCGCGTACTTCCAATAGCTCTACCTTCAATGTGAGTGACCGCATTTATGGTTGGACCTGGACGTGTATCTGCGTCCGCATACCCACAGCCCAGGAGGCCGCCTCCCGCCTCCACCTCGTGCATCACATCATCCATGGAACATAGGCCAGGTACAATCGAATCGACCTAGCGTTTTGAATGCATCTCGGCGTTGATGCCGCCCAGATGCAGGCAGAATGCTATGTAATGCTCTCTCTCTCTCTCTCTCTCTCTCTCTCGTTTTTCCCCCTCTTCGTTCCTTGCAGCCCGCTCTCCCGCCCATTGTGGAGGACGCTAGCGTTCCCGTCGTTTGCTGGCGGCGCTTCAAATTAATGTCCGTTCCGCTTCGCCGGGCTTCTTTTTTTCTTTTTGTCCCTTCCCCTCTGCGGCTCTGCCAAAGGCACGCTCACTTCCTGAGTAACTGAGGCCGGCCGCTTATGAAAGAAATGGGAGTCTCAGGCCGTACCGGCCTAAGGCGGGATGGAAATACCCCCTTCACTTTTCGGTGGGCGCATAGTACCGGCCCAGGTTTTTTTGGGCGCCCGAAACCGAATAGGTTTCGGCGTGGGCTGGTTCTACCAATTATCCCAATAAGCTCGACCCTTTGTTTGGAGCTTTGTGTATGTACCAGTCACAGAGAGAGAGAGAGAGAGAGAGAGAGAGAGAGAGAGAGAGAGCTGGTAGTCCCTATGCCGAGGGAGGATGCAGGACGCAGAAGCAGTAGAAGAGGTCCCTCACTGTGTCTTCCCCCCCCCCCCCCTTCCCCCCCCCCCCCCCCGCCTCTCAATTTTCAACATTTCTCAAATTGTGGATGATTGGTCTATTATTCTGTTTATCTTCTAGACAAGTCTGTCACTCTTTCTACAGCAGATTGCTGCCTGAGGGTGTGTGTTCAGACCGGGACATTTTCTACTGATCTTGGGGTGCGATTGCGGTCAGGTTCATCCCCGGAGAACTGCTATTGTGCGTGCGTCTCTCCGCGTGTCCCGTGAAGTACAATTTATGGATTCCTAAGGTCGGCTTCTGTTTTTTTTTTGTTGTAAAAGTTGAAATAGCACACTGACAATAATGAAGACTTGGCTCTGCGAATGAGTAATTTACAGAGTATAACGGCGTCGCGAATAACGGAACCAGAAGGGTGTGAGTGCATCTTCCCGCATAAGATGGCAATATGCATCTTTTCCTATTGATGGTAACGGACGTATCTTCCCGTCTTCTTTGGAAAGATGCGTGCACGTTTTATTTTTGTTTCGTGAGTAGGTGTGGCGAGGTCGTAAGAAGATGTTACGTAAAAGCAAAATTATAATGGGTGCAGTGATAATAATAATATTAACAGTAAAAATATTAATATATATAAGGGAAAAGGGTAAGGGCATGCTCTCGCTAGGACGTTTTGACTAATTTCTGGATGTAATTGCGGCCAGATACATCCGGTTCCGGCCGTAAACGCGGTCAGAAAGGCAGTGCCAGTGTGAGCATGTCCTATGTTAGGTACGTGTAAAGCGAAAAGACCAAAACTCTGATTACATATGAGAAGTATTTTTGGGCATATACAGTGATCGTGAATCGTGATGATAGAGAGCGTAATAATTTCTGTTATGGGACCAGTTATCTGGGCTAAGAAAAGAACCAAAAACAAAAAACAAAACAAAACGACGTACGAGATTAACATGGAGGAGGAAGGTAGGGCGCTATGGAAACAGCCTTTCTGAATTCTACCAACAGACGCAGAAAAGTAGGGACAAGCTTTTGTTTAATTAATTTTTAAATGACAAATTTTCGTGAGGCAGATAACCAATGTAATATGCAGTTTCGAAAGTAGAGAGAAAGAGAGCATAAAAAAATGGGGGGGGGGGAGAGAGAGAGAGAGAGAGAGAGAGAGAGAGAGAGAGAGAGAGAGAGAGAGAGAGAGAGAGAGAGAGAGAGAGAGAGAGAGAGA